GGGGGGGGGGGGGTGAGGTGCCATCGTGACCCCCCCCGTCCCCTGCAGCGAGACCCCCCCCCGTGTCCTGTGCTATGAGCGTTCGGCGTGACTTCTCCGTGAGCAGTTGCAAATGAAAATGGAGGATATGTCTTTGTCTGGCCTGGATAACAGCAAAGGGGGCTGTCCAGCTGTCACCCCCCCTCTCTAAGTGTCCCGTGTCCCCCCCCCTGCCACCACCATGCCCCAGGCCATCGCGCACGAGATCTACACGGACCTGGTGGAAGATGCCTGCCTGGGGCTCTGCTTCGAGGTCCACCGGGCGGTCAAGTGCGGCTACTTCTTCCTGGACGACACGGACCCCGACAGCATGAAGGACTTCGGTGAGTGACACGGGGACATGGCGGGTGTCACCCTCCCGGTGCCACCCCGGGGTGAGGAGGGGGGGGGAGAATCCGTTGTCCCCCATCCCTAGGGGTTTGGGTGCCTGAGCATCCCCCTGGCACTGCCAGGATGTGCCTGTCCCATCCCACAGAACCCATTTTGTAACCCCCCTGGGGTGACCTGAACCCCTTAATGTCACCCCACGGTGTGGTGCTCTGTCCTGGGGGTGGGTGGGAGGAGGAGAGACACCACCCAGGGCCAAAGGGGCAGAGCTGGGGGGCACAGCCCGAGTGTCCCCTTGGCAGTGGCCATGTGGGGAAGGATGTGTCCCATTTTATAACCCCCCTGGGGTGACCTGAACCCCAGAAATGTCACCCCACGGTGCGGTGCTCTGTCCTGGGGGTGGGTGGGAGGAGGAGAGACCCCCCCTGCCCCCACAGCAAAGGGGCAGAGCTGGGGGGCACAGCCCAAGTAGCCCCCCGGCCCTGCCAGGATGTTCGTGTCCCATTTTTTAACCCCCTGGGGTGACCTGAACCCCAGAAATGTCACCCCACGGTGCGGTGCTCTGTCCTGGGGGTGGGTGGGAGGAGGAGAGACCCCCCCAGCTGTCCTGCTACTGGTTTCATGTCCCTGATGACACGCTGAGAGTCTGGAAAGGAACCAGTGGCCCAAGAGACCCCCCCTAAGACAAATTGCCAGGGCTGGGGGGCATGGCCCCCGAGTGTCCCCTGTTTTATACCCCCTGGGGTGACCTGAACTCCTTAATGTCACCCCACGGTGCGGTGCTCTGTCCTGGGGGTGGGTGGGAGGAGGAGGGCCCCCCCCCAAGGTGTCCTTCTACTGGTTTCAGGTCCCTGACTCCACTCCAAGCATCTGGTGGCCCAAGGTGGTCCAAAGATCTCGGAGCTGGGGGGCACAGCCAAGGAAGAGGCTGGGGAGGCGGGGGGAGGTCTTGATGCCCGAGGGGGGGTGTCTGATGCGTGTTCCCCCCCCTGCAGAAATCGTGGACCAGCCTGGCGTGGACATCTTCGGGCAGGTCTACAACCAGTGGAAGAACAAGGAGTGCGTGTGCCCCAACTGCAGCCGCAGCATCGCCGCCTCCCGCTTCGCCCCCCACCTGGAGAAGTGCCTGGGCATGGGCCGCAACAGCAGCCGCATCGCCAACCGACGGTCAGCATTGCCCCCCCTTCACCCCCCCCCCAAAAAATAACCCCACCGGTTTGGGGGTCCCCACAGACCACCACCACCACCCCAACATGGGGAAACTGAGGCACAAAGTGAGGAGTGAGGGTGGGGTGATCTCTCAGTGGGGGATTTGGGGACCCTCATCTCTGTGCTGGGATGGGAATTGGGCACCCATACTCCTCCTCCCCCCTTTGTTTTTTATTGGGGGGTGCACGTCCTGCCCCCCCCAAACCCTGGAGTCCCACCTCCATCCAGCTCCTTGTGCTCTAACCTGCTGCTTCCTGGAAAAAAGGGGAATTCTGGCTCCTCTGTCTGTCCCCACCCCCCTTTCCTTGGTGACTGCTGGGGTCCCCCCCATCTTGGATCTGGGGTGGGGATGGTGGGGGGCAGGGATGGATCCTGGGGTGCAGGGAAGGGTGTGGGATGGATCCTGGGGTGCTGAGGAGGACATGGAATGGATCCAGGGGTGCCAGGACGGATCCTGGGGTGCTGGGAAGGGCATGGGATGGATCCCGGGGTGCTGGGATGGATCCCAGGGTGCTGGGGAGGACATGGGATGGATCCTGGGGAGGGTGCAGGATGGATCCCGGGGTGCAGGGACAGATCCTGGGGTACCAGGATGGATCCAGGGGTGCTGGGGAGGGCATGGGATGGATCCTGGGGTGCAGGGAAGGATGTAGGATGGATGCTGGGATGCTGAAGAGGACATGGAATGGATCCTGGGGTGTCAGGACAGATCCTGGGGTGCTGGGGAGGGTGCAGGATGGATCCTGGGGCTCTGGGGAGGGCATGGAACAGATCCTGTGGTGCTGGGATGGATCCCGGAGTGCCAGGGAAGGCATGGGACAGATCCCGGGGTGCTGGGATGGATCCTGGGGTGCTGGGAGTGACACAGGATGGATCCTGGGGTGCCAGGGAGGGCATGGGATGGATCCTGGGGTGCTGGGATGGATCCTCGGGGGCAGAGAAGGATGTGGGATGGATCCTGGGGTGCTGAGGAGGACATGGAATGGATCCAGGGGTGCCAGGACTGATCCTGGGGTTGCTGGGGAGGGTGTGGAACTGATCCTGGGGTGCTGGGATGGATCCTGGGGTGCTGGGGAAGGATGTGGGATGGATCCTGGGGTGATGAGGAGGGTGTAGGATGGATCCTGGGATGGAGAACAGATCCTGGGGTGCCAGGGAGGTGCAGGGATGGATCCCGGGGTACAGGGGCAGATCCTGGGGCTCAGGATGGTCCCAGACCTTACCACCCCCCCCCCCCCCACCCCCCCGCCCCCCCCCTCCCAGCCCCCTGCCTGCATCCTATAAGCACCCAACCATCTCCCTGCCTGCTCCCTGCCTGCATCCTACCAGCCCCCTGCCAGCTCCCTGCTTCCCCCCCGCCTCCGCCCTCCCCGCACCCCC